TGGTCTTTATTTCCCCACGTGGTTTTAGCGATGCACAAAGATAAAAGTCTCCAAGGGAAATATGGCGCAGTATCTGCCTTGTGTGTGTCTCACCTTACTAATATATCTTTCATGAACCCTGAGTGTTTTATTATCTGTCTTTAACAACAACAAAACCAGGTGAATATATAGATCAAAACTCATCAACAGTGAAAATAAATTAGTCATGAATGAAAGTGCAGCTTCCCACTTACATTATGCTCCTATTTTATCATTTATAAGTTTAAAATATATCAAAATGGATACGAAAAAACGTAAAATATGTACTTCTATTGCAAATAGTGGTTTGAGTTGTATATAATAACAATTGTATGGACTATTTAAATAACTAAAATAAGCAGATACAAATACCTTTGCACACTTTCTTGTGAAGATATGAGGACCACAAAACAGAAATTCAACCGTGCGTGTGTGTGTGTGTGTGTGTGTGTGTGTCTGTGGGGCCTAGCATTACTATACTTGTGGGGACCTAAATCTGTTTACACAGTCAGGTGTGAGGACTTGCTTCCCTTATGGGGACAAATAGGAGGTCCCCATAAGGGGAATCATTCATTTTAGGGTGAAGACTTGGTTAGGGTTAGGATTAGGTTTAGGCATGTGTTGGTTAAGGTTAGGATAAGTCTCCAGGAAATGCATGTAAGTCAATGTAATGTCCCCTGAAGTTGTGTGTGTGTGTGTGTGTGTGTGCGTGTGTGTGTGTGTGTGTGTGTGTGTGTGTGTGTGTGGGGCCTAGCATTTCTATACTTGTGGGGACCTAAATCTGTTTACACAGTCACGTGTGGGGACTCGCCTCCCTTATGGGGACAAAATGGAGGTCCCCATAAGGGGAATCATTCATTTTAGGGTGAAGACTTGGTTAGGGTTAGGCATGTGTTGGTTATGGTTAAAGTTAGGATAAGTCTCCAGGAAATGCATGTAAGTCAATGTAACGTCCCCTGAAGTGGTGTGTGTGTGTGTGTGTGTGTGTGTGTGTGTGTGTGTGTGTGTGTGTGTGTGTTGTGTAAAACTGTCCTATTTCTAGTTCAATGTGCTTTTTTCTCATTTAAAAACTACACGCATAAACATCTAAAATGGTATTGTTTTTTTATTTATGTCGTCTTTCCTCCATTCAGAATGTCTGTTTTACCTGTAACACCGTAATACGTGAAACACCATTGTTCTATTTTGGTAACACCGGAAGTGCAGTTCTGTATTCCGGCTGGCTTCACACTGGTGTGGAAAAGATGGCTGCTTCGGCGGCAACGGCGAGTTCTTCCCCCGGTTTGTGTCCAAATTACGCCGTGATTTGCTCTTTCCTGGAGCGCTACGGAGCTCTGTTGGACTTACCGGAGCTCACCTTCCCGCAGCTGGAGAGATATCTACGGGACACATCCTCAGCTGAGGCCGGTAAGCAAGCTTCTTCTTACGGGGAGGAGGAGAATAAAACCATGCTAACATGCTAGCAGCTACGTTAGCATGTTGTGTGTTATTGTGTGGTTTTCTAACCTTCTCCTTCACTTAAATGTTATTAACTGCGTCACAGAGCGGTTTTACGAAGTGGAACATATATCTGTGTGTATTTAAGTCTTTATTCAGTTGTGAGCATGCGGAATTAGTCGAGGTTTTCTGTCACTTTTGAGCTTTTGAAGAGGGCTTAATTTGTCTCCAGGCTGCCTTTATCTGCGTTCAAACACAACACAGGCAGTAAATGTGGGGTCGATATTAGTGTTTGAGAGCAGTTAAGATGGAGCTAATTCGTGCAACACGTCGTGGTTTTTGATAATTAATATGTGCAGATGTCATTGTCTGCAACGAACACGTAATTGTGCACTTTATTTACAGTTAAATTATTTTGCCATGTAGTGGTTAGCTCAGTGTGTGTCAAGCTAACCGTCATGATGAGGAGAACTTCCGGTGGAAGCTTTCAAATTAAAAATATGTAAACAATGAATTAGAAAAAGTTGCACTGGATGTTTATGTATGTATAAGTACAAGGTGTAGCACTGTATACCATCCTGTTAATACTTCCACAAAATATACAACTTTTTTTCATCTTCTCACATACAAGTACACTTTCTTTTACTTATGAATTCTATAATAATACATTGGATTTTTATAGCGCTTTTCCGAATGCTCAAAGACCCTTTACATCAAATACATTTGGAGCTAGGGTTAGTTAAGAAAATGCTGATGAATGTGTGTTGTGTAAACCCGCATTTCCTTATTAATTACAGCAATTCATTTAGATCTGTCACTGTTATTTACTGTTGGAATGGGGCCAAATTATGCTAAAATCCACCATTTGTTCCCATGTTTTTATTTTCTTCAGTTCCAAAGCTGCTCGTTGATCTTCACGTTAAGTTGCTGAGGAAAATCGGCAAATCTGTGTCAGCGGACAGATGGGAGAAATATCTACTGAAGGTAAAATAATGACTTTATTATAACATCGATATTGTTGTGGAGGATAATGTTTTTTAAATTAGGTTCGCACTAGAATATAAAGAGTTATGGTTTTCAGATTTATTTCTTTAATTTGCTGATTTAAATATCTGTTTTTCCCCGCAGGTATGTCAGGAGTTGAACCCAACGTGGGCATGGGAGCTCGAGCAGAACGGATACAAAGATCTGTCGACAGAGTGCAAGACGGGGTTACTTAAAGTAAGAATGCATATAGCTTTGTTCTGTTGTACATAGAAAATGCATTTGGTACGTTGATAGGTTAGATCGAACAGTTCAAAGCTACTAGTGTTCAGCTTAGTCTCTACTATTGTACATCAATTGACGAGCCATGCATAGTTGATCTTCACTTGAAGGCGTACAATATTTAAACCACAATTATTTTTCATTGTTATTTCTCTTTTCCACTCTTTTAAGTATTTGTATTTTAATGTCTGAACACACTTCTGTAACAAAATCATTTCCCAAATTGGGATCAATAACGTCTCTTAGCTTTGTTTGATTGTTAAAAGATCTACCTACACGCACACATAGGGATTATACATTTTCATTTTAAAGTACCTTTTTTAAAGTATTGTAACAAAGTGTTTCGCAATCAAAGACGGATGTAAAAAAAAGCAGACAGAAAAAACGTTAATACATGTTAGTGCAGCTTTTACAAAGTGCATTGTAGAAATGTTTCCCCGAAAAACTGTAATATACTATTCTCGATTTAGCATGTCAAATATGTGTGTGACGCAGTGGGTTGTGCGTTGGTGTTTGGATCAGGGGGTCACAGGTTCAAACCCCACTGCAGTCAGCATGTCGTTGTGTCCCTGAGACACTTCACCCCAAATTGCTCCTGTGGGGATTGTCCACAGTATTGAGTATGTAAGTTGCTTTGGATAAAAGCGTCTAACATGTAATGTAATGTACAAATATTCATAACAAATCAGTAGTGTTTTGGAAATCAATACAGTATCATAAAACATAATCTAGAGATAATCCATATTCTGTAAACCCATTATAAACACCTCACTTGCAATTAAATTAGGATTTAGTAACCTTGTGTTATATTCTACTTAAGCAGCAGCAGTAATAATCTTCAGCGTCTTTCACTCACAGATCTGAAGAAAGTCAAATAATTAAAAGTTAATTATAAACACAACAACATGTTATTATATTAAAAACATGCTGTCCCTTTCTTCCCCTCTCTCTCCAGTATTTGTGTGAGTGTCAGTTCGATGACAATGTTAAGTTCAAAACGGCCATCAACGAGGAGGACCCGGATAAGATGCGTCTGCAGCCGATCGGCCGCGATAAAGACGGTCAGATGTACTGGTTCCAACTCGACCAGAGCGACAACGTGCGGCTGTACATCGAGGAGCAGGACGACCTGGACGGATCCTCCTGGAAGTGCATCGTCAAGTAAGCACAGAAAAGACTTATTGAGGAACACATACACAGCATGAAATGTGAGAACAATTAGAGTTTAGAGCAGCGGTTTCCACTCAGGGCCTACTTAAAGGTAGGGTAGGTAAGAATGGAGAAACCAACTCGAGTGGGCTAGAACTTGAAAATATGCAGCTGAAAAAAATCTGCCCCCGACATACAAAATAATAGCAATGTTAAAACGAAGTAAACTGGATATAAACTCTCCAAACAGGCGAAAACCTAC